GGAGAGGGCGGCTTGTGGCCGGCGCGGCCCTGGCTCTCGCTGGCTGGCTGGAGCCAAGCTCGAGCCGCCCGAGGGCCCTCGTCTCTTTCTCCAGCTCCAGCCTGCTCCGGGCCGGCCACGCCAGCGAGCTCGCCAGAGGGCATTAAACCTCTGAGCCCGAGAGGTGAGAGGGATAGAGAGAGGGAGGGAGGGAAAGAGAGAGAGAGAGAGAGAGAGAGAGAGAGAGAGAGAGAGAGAGGAAGAGGGGTGGGGTCAAGCGGGCGGGCGCCTTGCAGAGCACGAGGTACAGTTGACCAAGCGCGCCTGCTTGCATCCCGAGAAAGCAGCTTGCCGACGTCCGTTTTCTTTTGATCTGCTTCTCGTGTGCGAGTGTGTGTGTGCGTTTGTGTGTGTGTGGGGGAGAGTGTTTCTTGTTCGTTCAGGCGGCGCGGGCGGTACGGATGTATGTATACTCGCCGCGCGTCTGCTCGGGGGGTGAGAGCGCAGGACCGTTAACAAACGCATGGGTGAGCTGGAAGGGGGGAATGGCGGGGGGCTTGACGAACGCGGGCGGGCAAGGCGAGGATTTTCTTTGCGATTTCATGGCGACGCGACTACGGCGCCGCCGCCGGTGGTGCGTCCGGGGGCGGCCAGGGAAATGAGAGGGGCTGGGGGGTGGGGGGAGCGGGCGAGATAGATAATAAATAAAACATGGCACATCTCGAGCCAAACACGACAACTGTTGTCCCGTCCCGCTGCTGTGTCGAACCTATGCGCGGGGCATAAATCTGAGAATCAGAATCCAGCCGTGACACCTGTACGCTGCACGCACCTCGAGGGCCCTCTCGCCCAGCCCAGCCTCGAGCTGACGGGGACTTATGTCTGGGGCCGTATTATATCATTGGGCTGTTGCAAAGTCCGACTCGGCGGAGCGACCAGAAAAATTATTACTTTTGGAAAGTGCGCGGAGCGCGATGCTTTCTCCCGCCTGCTCGCTGGTGGTGGTCGCGGTGCCGCTGGGAGGGGTGGGGGCGCCGTCCGAGCGGTGAGGCGAGGTGGAGCTGCTCAAGGAGTGTAAAGCAGGGGGGAGGAGAGAGGAGGTGAGTCTCGCATTCGACTTAAGAGTCAGAAGTAAAAATATGAAGTCTGCAGGGCAAGGACCTTATATTCTTTCTTAATTGAAAATATACTAAGCTGGCCGACAATTATTAGCGCAAATATTTTTTTTCTGCGAGCTGTGTCCTCCGCGCGTCAGCGCCGCGCAGCGGGGATCCCCTGAAAATCCTCTTAGAATAAATACACTTTAAACCCCAGCGCGTGTTGTTGTTTACAGACGCACCCCCAGCCCAGCCGGGCTAGCCAATCAAGTCCATCGCCTTCAGCGTGTATCGGATTGATGCCCTCCCTCCCTCCCTC